TTGATCTGCATTGTGTTAGATAAGTGTAAACAACTGTCAAAGATAAGTTTATAAATTTGTTTAAAATTCTTCGTCATATTCCTCAGTCAGGGCAAAGGCGACATTCCTCCTTAATCACTGTCATTTTGTGCCCACAGCATTGTTCCCAAATTCTTCTAATATTCCTGTATACATAGTGTGTTCCTCTACTGTATAAGACTGTGCAAGTAGTATTTACAAATTACAAATGTATTTATAAATCAATTTCTTTTTCATGTTTTATATGATTTCCGAAGTTAATGTCATAATCAAAAAATGAGAACTATATTTACAAAACATTTCAATAAGAATTTGTTTTTCTCTTTTTAATTATTTGAAATCTGATCTTACTAGGGTAAATATTAATTCAGGTATTGCACTAAAGTGCTCTGTACATTACATGAATGTAAGCCAATATTAAGCACAAATAGAAAAGAAACAAACACAGCTACTGTATATCTGGCAGCTTGCTCTAGTTGAGTATACTGTACAGAACAAGATAGTGTTCATATTTATACAATGCACATGAAGTTTGAAATAACATTAAATTTATGGATTTCCTTTCTTTTCTTGCTGTTTTTGCTTCCATCACAGTCACATCCTGATAAAAGTGAACAATCATTTTCAGTGCCTTAGACAAGTATTTAGACCCTTGTACAGATTTCACATTTTCTTGTTTTAAAACTAATACATTTGATTTATATAGTATATTTCATTACAGTGAAAAGATTTGATTGGATCATTACAGTTGATCCAGTGATGTTCACTTGCCATTTTTGAGCATGATTAGATCCTACCAATGGATTTGGTAATAACCTGAGACTGACTGTAAATGCACCTCCAAACTGGATCTTTTCAAATAAGTCAAACATTTTTAATAATATACAAAATTTAATTATAACTCGGAATTTACGTTCTCTTAGAAATGAGTATCATCCAAGACCAACTGCAGTTATTTTCCACACACCCACCGTAATTTAATAATAAACACAGACAGCAAGTCTTGAACTTGATGAGCTCATCTTCGCAGTTGCCTGGCCTTAATTTGATTTAAAAAGGTTATGGCTTTAACTTGCAAGGGGATGAGAAACAAAACTGCAATCGGAAAGTGTTGAATGGGTAGAAACAGATGGTGATGCACTTCTAATGGTGTGTGACTAGATTATAAGCAGCTGTGATTACAAGACATTCAGTCACTAAATGCTAAAAACATATCCTGCATTGTACTTTTGCTTGAGATTATGATTGGATATTCATAGAAAAAGGACATTTATACTAATTCTTACATTTTTAGTTGTATTTCAGAAATAACATGGAAGTATCCCCTGTATTATAACTGCCATAACATTTTTTAAAAACTGTTTACTAATATATTGTATTTTATGTGAATTGTTTTAAATGCTTGACTGTATGTATTATTTGGAAAACTGTCAATGAAGCCAATATATTTGTAAAATTTCTAAATTTATAAACAGAAAAGAGTTTTATGCTTTTTTAATATGGCAAAAGTCTGGTAATAAATACTTTTTATATAAAACAATCTTAAAGTAAACATTTTATAATTACAATAATTAATAAAAACTGGAAGTGAAGCTGCACAACAAATGAAATTTCAATTTAAACTGTCCTGAAGGCTTTGCAGGAGAAAACATGGCAGGAAATCAGTGTGTTGTGAAATTATTACATGTCTTTAATTCTTTATATATTTAAAGTAAAATGCATGAGGATCCAGTGACATTTTCTTAATTTTCAACATTCAAAAGGTCAGTATTAAGAGAGGTGGATATACACCGCTGATCTGCAAGAATAAAGACTTTTTTTTTCAGATTGGTTTTCTAAGGTGCAGCTTGGCAATGACAGGATGATCCTCTGTTTTGGTTTAGTTTTAACATCTCATTACATTTTTCTGTAATTTCTTACCTCCACATCTGTTGATTCAATTCTGAATGGTACTTTAGGTTTTCAATATAATGCTCATAGATATGTAAATTCCAGATACGAAAGGAATTATACAAAAGGGAAAGAGCTGCAGTACTCAGTCATTTGCATCCTATGTTTGTAAGATAATTTTAAATATCTCTCCAATATTTCAACATGTAGAAATTGGAATTATTGTGTCAAACAGAACAAGAACTAATGAAGGTGACTTTATATGCTGTATAAAGTGAGTTTTATAGGCTATAAAACCCCTCCCTTTCTTTTCTGGAACAATTCCAGACATAAATGTAGTCAAACAAAAGTGATTATGAAGTTTGTAACAACAGTCTTCAAATGAGAGATAATTGCATACTAGATTAAAATTTAAAGTTAATTTGGATTTAAATTTATTATAAACTAAAACTTAAACATTTTAAAGAATGATGCATATATCCATGTTCATGATTCCTACAGAGTGCTTCTGTGTCTGTAGCTACATTATCTACTAAATGGGGAAAAGTCTGTGAGGGTTTCCAGTCTTGTTGCATTGTACCAGGTACCGTAACTTGCTCTGCAAACACTATGGTCTAAAAGTGCACAGTATCTCACCACCAGAAGGTGGCAAAACTGATGTGGGAGTAAAATGAATATCTACACAAACATTTTAGACAAAGTTTGTAAGTCCTCTGTTAGCAAACTGTTTTGTAAATGTGTCGTTCAAAACTTTTCAATGAAAAACAGATTATTTCCACTTGGCGTCACTCCTATTTAATAATATTGGGCTAAATGAGGTACAAAAAGTATACCTACATTTTATACATAAATACACTGAAAATCATAAACATAAATCAATTACTGTATATCTGAAGTTATTTCAAAGTTATCAGTAAAATGACAGGTTCTCTGCCTTTTTATTTAACAGACATGGTAGTCAGTTCTCTTGATTAATATCCTGATTAATTTGTCATCAACATAGTTGGTCAATAAGGACCGACTGAAAGTCACAATCTAGAAGTACATAGCCATCTCTGGAAACAATAGAAGCTATACATGTGTATATGTACACTAGTGACTCATTCTTTGATTAGGTTACAGATGCTTTGTGGGACCCATTCCTCTTGCAGAATCCAGACATACTGTACATGTGCCTGTTCTAGTCTTTGAGGCCTAGATGCCACACATCATCCCAGCTCCAACAAATTCATCATATCACTAGGCTGTGGTGAATGACATCCACATGACATATACTGTATGTCACATTTTCATCTTTTAAGAAGGCCATGATTACATGAGGACACTTGTGTAGTTACACAAACTACATCAGGGGACACACAACAATGAGTGTATAGTTATGTATGTCTGCACCATATTCACTGACAACCAGGACGGTATACACAAAACCTTCATTACTAAGCAGGACTTAGATCTTTGTTTGTTGAGACTCCAACATGATGATGGAATGACATTGACATTGAAGAGGCTAAATCATCTCATTTACTCTCTTACTCTCAAGAGTCAACTCTTAAGCAACAGGAAAAGTCACTCCAGTGTTTTATGACCAGTCATGAATGATGAATTAATCAGATTGACACCAAATACATTTAATATACTTTATTTTATTAACATAGGTCTTAATAGAATGATAAGCAAATTTTGATACTCAGTGTATTTAATTTTTCTGCAGTGAGTGAGCATTAATACAGTATATGTATAAATTTGTTTTGGCTGCTACAGAAAAAGGAAAAACTAAGATCAACAGAAGCTCTCTGCACACATTCTCTTTGATGTAAAAATCATGATTTTCTCTCTCTCTATTGAGAATTCAGACAGTGATGGCTTGTGTTGTGAATTCTTGCCAAAGGTACATTCTGTGCCTCTGAGCATCACTGCTTCGAAGAACAAATGTTTTGTACCTTGCCCAAACTTTCCTTTCAGCTAAAGCACATAGAAAATCATATAGCACAATCTCACAACTACAATTTTGTTAATAATCAATGTGCCTACTAACTATAAATGTTCTTAGAGCATTAAGAGCATTAAGTTTTTAGTTGAAAAATACTGAAAGGAAAATGATTGTTGTGAAAAAGCACTGCTTTTTCTAAATTTCTGAAAAGAAGTGAATTCTATAACCATTTAACATTAATTTAATATAGAGCAGCTGAGTTCATATATTTAACAGCAAGACAAGGACAATTTTCTTTTTTGTTGAGTATTTGCTGTTGGTTCTTTTCCTATCAAGTTTGTTGTTTTAAGTCATCATACACAGTGTTGGTCATAAAATGTTCTTGACAGCAAAATTAAAATGAACTGTAGCGCAACTGTTTGTGTACTATTAAGCACATAAGAATCCAAATGCAGTTTTACACATGTATCATTTGACCAAAAATAGATATAAAATATATATGTAAATGTCTAACTAGTGAGGAAAATTAAGTGACACTAATAACAGTAAGAAAAATATTGCTGCCTTGAAATGTCCTTTTTCATTGAAATGTAATATTTAAAAAATTAAACCTAAAACAAATTGTTTTAAATGTAAGAAATTAAGAAGAAACTATTTAGCCATACTGTAATTGGATTAATCCTCTTTACTTTGAGAACACTTGGCCATGGTGATAATTTATATGGAATATTTGCACAGCTGGTTCAACAGGGTGTTTCAGTGGGGATTTGAATGCAATTAACCTTTTGCCTTCTTCAAATTGGTTACTTAAGCTTAATAAATTGTCAGTAATATATTATAGTCTTTAAAGTAAAACATACTTCATTTCTAGCTAAACAGTTAGCTGATAGACCTCCAACTGAGAGCAGGATCAGTGATTGAAAAATTTGTCATTATGGTTTTCACTGAAACTGAATTTACGGTGTTTGTAAACAGTGCATTCATTTGTTGAGTTTTCAAAAGATTACAAATAATTTAATACATTATCTAAAAGGAACTTCTCAGATTTAAAGTATGGAAGTTACTTGAATGTACAAGTTGACAGGCTCAGATTTAATCAAAACTTCAACCTAATGGTGTATTGAAATTTGCAAACATTGAACTTGATATTTTTGTTTGCTAGGCGAATCTCCTTTTTGCCCAATGAAAACCCACAATCAAGTACTGGGAATCATGAACTGAAGAAACATGCAATGAAAAGATTAAGGTGAGATACACTGCTATACAAATATCTAAGATCCATTCAAGAATTACAAATACATGTTATGAGCATCTACAGTACAATTTATAATTTAATCTTAAAGGTATTTTCTGCTGTTATAAGAAATTAGACTGTTATGTTATTAATGTCTTTGGTGATTTAGGGTGACAAAAAAAAAGACTGTCAATTAGCTATCTTAAGGTTACATTAATAAGAAACGTCATAAACTTGATCAAAACAAACCAGAGTAAACTAATGAGCCACCAGTATAAAGAGCTGTAGGAACTAGTCTACAATACAGTAGGGCTTGAAACATTCGCAAGGGTTCGGTCCACTCCTATGCTATCACATAATGTACTATGGTTTATTGTACATATGGTTAAAAGACATACTGTAAATTAACCTCCTTTGTATGATAATTAAAGTACTAATGGCTTTATGACGATTAAAATAACATTGATCAACTAAAATTAACAATCCCACAGTATCAGCTAACAGGAAGCTCCCAACACAGATTGTGGTACGTTTGCTACAATACAGAAACAAGTGCATGTTGAGATGCGGATCCTGGGTAGAGAGTCTCACTCACTAGCTAGATTTCTCGCAATCTCACAATCCTAGTCTCTTGCACAGCTAATTTGAAAGGAGATTTAGCAACCTTCAACTCGATTTCATCCTGCATTGTTCTTCCATACAAGACCCCGTCCAGCCAGAACAAATAGCGAATTTGCAGATGTTAAATTTGCAGATGCTGACAATCTACTGTAATTGGAAAGTCTTGGACAAAGCATGACACTACTGCACAACAGATTATAACAAATACATGGAAAAAGAATTTCAATGCTTTTGAAGGAAAAGGATGGAAGTACAGTATTTTCCATTAGCTTACATTGTGTACTGTATCAAAATAAGTTTGTATCAGGGGTTTTACTGACTAGAACTTTCTTTTTAAAATGGTGGATTTGCCCATATTTGTGTAAGACGTCTGCATAATAGTGTACCTGTAAATAACTTTGTCATATGGGGATGAATATTCATCTATAATTACTGTATGAGTATGGCATACTATAATGAGCAGGCCTTTGGACTAGCAGGTTATCGGTTCAAGGCCCTGCTGTAGACATTGCCATCTTCAGGAAAGAAGGTACTGTACCCCGTTTATTCCAGGCCACCCAGCTTTATAAATGGGGACCAGCCTTGCAGTAGGATAATGCTTGTGATGGACCAGTGTCCCATCATAGGGAAGAATCATGTCCTATCTAATCCTCTGAATGTTACAGAAACCAAGATGTGATGCTGTGGCTCTAGCATGGACATTAGTGTATTGACTTATAGTTACTGTATTTGGAATTAAATTGGACCCTCATAAACATTTTATGTTCTACAAATCTAATTACAGCTCCAAAAGAAATTAGAAACCCTAATTTTTCACAAGCAAATAATTTATTTGTAAACATAAAAGGAACAGATGGCCCTTACTAAAGTCTCTTAATCATCAAGATCTGAATTTTCCTTGCCATTTCTAGGCTATCGGTGCCAGTGCAGGACTGTTGCCAGTAGATGTAATGCTGCATTATCCCATTTATCTATAATTTACAGGAGACATGTTTTTGTTTTTAACTGGAGGCTATACATAGTGTGTACAGTATAATAAACCTAACAATTTACAAATACTATGGCAGATGTTGATGAAGCCACCCCACCCCCCCAAAAAAAAATGAAAAGCCACCGAGTTAGAAAGTTGATGTTATGAAACATTTACTAGAGTACACTTTAAATATCTTCAGTATTATCAGCATTGAGATGTTTCACTTAATGTTTGTTCACAACATTATTTTACTTTTGTCAAATAATTCTTTAAGTGCAATAATCACTTCAAGCACTGTAAATGACAATTCGGTTAATTATTTTGTGGGAGGGCTTGGTCAAAAAGAAATGAATAGAAAAGAATTCTGTGATTATTTTTTGCAAAAATATTTAATTTTCACGAGCAGTAATGCACATTTATATGACACTTATACAGTATATTGTGAACTGTATATATAAATGCAATGAAAGATTCAAAAGCAGAGTGATGTTCCAGTGGGGAAAAAACTCCTGCTTTATCTGGAAAAACACATGGCACTATCATACAGTATGAATGGAGTTAACACTTTCTGGTGTCTCTTTTGGTGCAATACTAGTCAAAAATGCATTATTATGTACTATGTGGATAAGATTAGGAATAATGAAATACATCATATTCCTGCCATGCAATCTACAGGAATCAATTTATATAACAAATCTATATAAAAGGATTTCAGCATTGCATTTAGTTGGGGAAAATGGTACATTGGCATTATTACAAAAATAAGTAAGCAAACAGGCCTTGAATCAGATTAAATTGAAATTTCATGCCTATCTTTACTGGTCTGTCATACATTATGCCCATTTCCACAGCACATACATTCTAAAGATACAGCAGTGACCTTTCAGATTGAACAGTTGCCCATAATAATCACCTGCCACCCGTCATTCTGTTGTCAGAATCTTTTATTTCATGTTTTTATAGGGAACTTGAGCAGTTCAGTTCTTGATCACAAAGGAAAGGAGGTGGTATTTGTATATTCAAATTCTCTTAATGTGCACAGACAAGGCTATGCCAAAAATAAGATCAATAACATTTGAGCAAAATTTTTTGATTTACCATGCCTATTTTTCTATCACATTAAACACTTAGTAGAAATTAATTTTTATGTTTTTAAACTGTTCCGTTTTAAAAGAAGCTAAATTAAGTGCATGTTATTCTAAACATTTGACATTTAAGTAAAAGTACAGATTTATGTATGGGATAATCAAATTGATCTGAACATTACACACAGTTATACATTTTAATTATTATGAGTACGATATACCAAAATTATAGAAGTGTGTTAAATGCAGTTTTGAGGGCCTTCACTTCAAAATCAAAACAAAGGAATATGGATTTCCCTTATTCAAAGACATGAAGAAGAAAGCAGCTGTAGACAGATTGTGATGGAAAGTGTTAGTCACAATGTCTGTCAAGGGGGGGAAGCAATTTCTAGCACCACACAAGGCACAAGGAGCTCAAAATGCCCACCCCACTTTTGATGCAGAAAGAGGGGGGTGGGAGTGCACAGGGAAAGGAAAACAAGTCAATGCTGAAATCCTTTTATTAACTAAGAAATTACACTTCAAAGCAAGTTACATTTTTAAATAGATTTTTGTTGATAGTTCTGGTTTTCTTGGTAGTATCTCTTTAACCACTGGTTTGTACCTATTTAACATTATTAAATATTAAAATACCATTTTAATTAGGTTTAAACTAAAAGTGTTAAATGACAACCAGATATGTTTCACTTCCAAAATCTGGAACATTTCCGTAGTAGTAATCTGGTAATTCCTCTGAATGAATTTGGTTAATAAATATAAATAAAAATAGTGTTACTGCAACAGATACTGTTCTGGAAGTTACTGGAATAAAACTAACAGGCTACTTAATGATACATTGTTTGCTAGACATAAGAGGCAGAGATTTTTAGTAACTTCCATTTCTTTTCTACTAAAATAAAAACATTTTTTCCACTAAATAATGAAATTACAAAAACAGTGCTGTACTGTAATATTACTGTGTATGTTATAAATATCAATCATTTAAAATGTTTATAATATATTTTCCAAATCATATTGGCTAAAAACAATTGTGGTCAGAGGTTAAGTGTTAAGTTTTATGCTTATTGTTTCTGACCACAAATAAATTAGATAAGAGTATGGTATAGTCTTCTTAAGCAGCCCTCTAAATCAGTAATTAATTAAACAGGCCTTATTCAACATTCCTAAACATTTTTATGTTTATTGCAGCCAAAGATTAATAGCAGCAGTGAAGATTTAATGAGAATATATCCTTTTTAATATGGATCATCATATGTTTGAAGACCCATTTCAAGATTTAAGCATTTTCTAAAATTTCCCTAGAATACACACATTATATGGTTGAACATTACAGATCAGATAATATTTTCACATAGTGATATGTTTAGCAACAATATTCTTGTTATTTAATTGGTCTTAAATGACAGTTTTTCCTCATCTAAATTTCAGATGTTCTGTTATTTGCCATCTTGGCAAATTATAAGATGTTATGGTCCCACATAGGACTTGTTCTAGTTCATTGTGATTTGCAAAAAAAAATAAAGCTTGGGAGGAGAAAGTTTTATGCTTCTCGTCACCCAAACCTAGAAATACATGGAATCAAAGAAAATACATTTTCTGACACATTTTCATTCAAGGTTCTAATACAGAAGAGAAAAGAACATCATAAGTAGCCATTTGTATGCAAGAAAATTAACTATATATTGTTTCAAAATCCTTTAAGATAAGCTGCTGAAATGCAACCTTTTCAATCATATTGAGCATAATTTATTATGTTCAGGTATATCCTGTCTACATTTAACCTTGATATTTGTTGCAGAAAATAATTTAAATGTTCCATATCTTGATTAGGTCTGCTAGACTGTCTTTTCTGGGGTCTAGAACAACTTCCACTACTGATGGAAAATTTCATTCAGAAAATGGTCAATTAAAAGGCTGCCAGAAAAGACCAGTCTTGCAAGAAATTGCTTTTGTTACTGTGCCATCATCAAATCTTAATCTTGCCACTTTTAATTGTTTCAGAAAAGGAGTCTAAGTGACCATATGAAGAGTGCAGGTTGTGAAGATGGAGAAATGGATGAAAAGAGTGTGAAACTGGATAGGAGTGAAAGGATCGTGCCGTGCCGACTGAACACTTGCCCTTGACTGACACATAAGTACACTAGCAAAGAGTGACTAATCGGGAGTACTGTATATGGCAAACAGAGGGTAGAGGAATAAAAGTGGGAGTGAAACAGGGGGGCAGAGTACAAGGATGTGCTTGACGGTGTTCTTGTGATATAATGGCTAGCGGAAAACAACTGTTAGAATATATAGACTTTTGTAAAATGTATAGCTTTTGTGAAGCAAAAAAATGCACATAAGGAGCTGTTTCGGCTTTTGAACTTAAAGAATTCTTCATGTGATGGTGGACTCTGTCCTCTCACTCTTCCACCCTCCAGGGTGAATAAAGGTGGTTCTGTTGAATTATCTCTCTCAGGTCAATGATTTCTCCTATGGCTTCTAACAGGATGGGATTGATGATGGAGTTCTTGGGAGTGTTCTGAGCCAGCAGGAGAAATAGGGTTTGTTTTCCTTCATGCTGGTGGAAGAAGAAGGAAGCCATGGAGAGTTACACAGTAAGAACAAGCACTGCATAAAAATATTATTTATTATTATTATTTTATTTTATGATATCGAATATATTATTGAGTTAGTTATAGGTAAGAAGTGGGTGATATTAGGTTGTGACCTCCTCCCAAACTTTATTTTAAATGGATGGCTGAATTTAAGTAAAACGGTGAGTCATTACAATCATACTCCACCTTTCATGTTTTAAGACCTAAAAAACAAGGTGGCCTGGGTTTTGTGTTTCAGGCATTTCAAGTGCACTAGCTTTGTACCAAATGTCAGTGTAATTTTAGTAACAAGTTACAGTGCACAAAGTACTCAAATAGATCACATTCTTCACTTTCTTCTCCTGCCAAACCAAGATGTGGCCTCTATAGAAAAATCATTTTTTGAGTTATGCCTTACTTGCTATCATATCATTAGCAATTTCGAAAACAAGGTTTATCTCTGAATTTTTTACAGTGAAGTGAAAATCCCATAGTTTTGCAGAACATTTCTTGCTTTTGCAACAAGTAGTCCTTACTGTGTAATAACCTGTTTCTGAAAGTTTCATGTTTTCAAGCCATTCTTTTTATTTTCTTTTTAACAGAATATATTTTTGCCATTCAGGAGAATACAACATTAGATGTATTGCTTCACTAATGCAATTGTACCTCCCTGAACTATATGTCAAGGCTTCTAGTAATGTACTATGCCCTTGGGTGCCAGTGGAAAGGAAAATATAAAACATCTATCCCTTCAAAGCACTGTTATTAGTTTATTTCAAAGTGCAGTGGAGCAGGTAAATGTTGATAGCATACAGTTCCATGTATATAATTTATTTTCTTTCAATGTGCTATAAGACATTTAAAAAGGATTTGCATTAATTTATTAATTCAGAATACATTATCAATGTTGTTGTAGAATAATAATGTTTAAAAAAGTAAGTGTAAGTATGTTTTTGGAGGTAGATGAGCATTTTTTAAATTTTTTTTTAAACTTGCTCACTTATTAAATCCATGCCCGGGTATTTTGGATAAGATTGTGAAGATTCTGATGAAATTTTAATAAGAAACTGAAGTGCAGATTGTAACATACCAATAAAATCATTATCTCTTTAACTGGGTTTGACTTTAATTTGCAGTTTTGTAAAGTATTCAAAGTGATCAAGATGGTTTTTCACATTTGGTAGATTCATTGTTCAAAAACTGAGTGAAATGATTCTTACTGATAACTGACTTCTGGGGAAATAGTGGAACTAAAGTCATGTTTTATTTTTAATGCCTACTAGTGTGCATCTGTTTGACTTTGTGTCACTATATACTGTATATACAGTATATGTGACTTTAACTTAATATGTGAAACAACATGTAATGATGAATCCTGAGATTCCTGTAGTATAGTCAATGGGGGGGGGAAAGCAAACAAATACTTCTACCTATAATGTATAGTGGTACTGCATCAAACATACCCTAAGCTGTAAAGGGGTTTTCCAGAAATAAAATAAATTTCAAAATACGTGAAGCTAGATGACCCAAACAGAAACTAACATAAATCATAGTAACTCTATTTCCAAATGCTGCTGCACAATATTAGACTAAATGCTTTGTTGAGATTTGTTCAACGTTAACAGTAGGGTTCAGCATGATTTATATCAGACATTCAGTTGTACAGCTGTAACCAGCCACATTGCTAAAACACTAAAACATTTATGTTTCATATATATTTTTAGAAAGCATTGAATGTCAAGTGAATATTGCATCAGCATTCCATTACCATTATATCTTTGTGTGACAACATTGTAAAACATGAACAAATGCGCCAGAGTCATATTTGTATTGCCCCATTATTTCTGTTCCAAGCTGCACTTTTTTTACAAGCAATATAAGTGCTTACATTATATGTGTTTACTTATGTAATGTTGTTACAAAATATTTTGATTAACAGGTTAGCTTTTGCATATTATAATATATTATGACTAAAACCAAGACTGTTCTATTCCTAAATAGTATGGTGCCCTCTCTATCTGCCATTTAGTCCTACTCAGACACCACACAGTCAAGCAAGGGATTACAATGAACAGAAACTGCAATATTCAGTTATAAGTATTAGTATGAACTTTTAAAGCATTATTAATCTCCTACAGCTTTGCAAATGCAGTACTAAGTAACAGGACTATCCAATGTACATTTGATGAGCTTCATTATGGAAATTTGAAATATTCATGAGAGTTTTAATGAATAAAAATATTAATTTTCCCTGGAGCCAAAATAGCCAGCACCCTCTATTTCATTATACACATTTGAAAAATTTGCTTCATTATTGGTGACTGCAAGGCATAGGCCTAACAATCAAATTGAAACATAGCTTGGTAAAAGAAATTGTCAAATAGTCCGATCAACATTTTCTGTTGTAAAATGTTTCAGTATTTCAGCCTTTTATCAACAAATACAAAGCTCTCAGTGCAAATACATTTAGAAAAACAACTGATAATGCTCATTTACAATATGGCATGTATGAAGCATCAGGCACTGCTGCTGAAGCATATTATACCATTCATTCTCTTATTAAAAAAGGTTATTATCAAAGTGTAGCAGTATATAACTATAGAACGCATTCCATCCATCTATTGTCTAATCGCTTTATCCAATATGGGACCATGGGAGATCTGGAGCCTGTCTCAGCAAGAAATGCAAGGCAGGATACACCTTGGACACGACGCCAGTTCATCACAGGGCACTCAGAGACATGCACACACTCGCATCAGGGCCAATTTCCTCTGAAGTCAATTAACCTACCAATATGTCTTTGGACTGTGGGAGGAAAACGAAGCACCTGGCGAAAACTCATGTGAAATAGGGGAAGCATAAAAAGTTCACACAGATAGCACTCAAAATATAGAATTGAACCCAGGGCCTGAGTGCTATGAGATGGCAGACCTAACCCTTACATCACCATTTGATGCACATTCATTATGTTTGTTTTTTTTTAGATGGCACAATTTCCAAGAATTTACAATATGAATCTTACTGAATCTTAGTAATTGTTGGTGTGCAAATAAGTCAGAAATTAAAGATAAGTTATTGTATTTTACAATACTTAGATTTGAGGAATCACTATTATGGTACAGAAGGTCTTCAATTACATACGGTTTAAGTACCAGAACTGGAAGGTGAAGATCACCAAGGTGGAATTCTGTGCATAGATCACAAGTAGAAATGAATATCCACAAATTTTGTACTATAGCACTTTAATTGGCCAATAAAAGAAAAATAAAGAATAAATCAAGTATTAGCATTAGTATTAGTATCAGCTTATAGTAAAGTACAGTTTTTGCTCCCTTCAGTACTTTTCATGTCCTGACATTTTTTCTCACTCTCTTGTTAGGTGCAAAATATTCTGTCTAAAATCAAATCAGCAGAAGAATGGGATGTGTAAATAAGTTTGGTTTCTGCTACACAATGCAAGGCATTCCATTCATATACATATAATCTAATTGAAAGAAGGAGAAAAAGATTTTTGATTAAATATAAATCCCACTTGACTTTTTGAGATAGTTTTTTAGCAGGAGGAAATTAAATTTCTGACACTTGTACACAATAAGCCTTAAATAAAGCAGTTCTACAACAAACATTTTAATGTGTAAGATTTGTGAAATGACTAAATTACACTTCAATCTATAGATACAAAACATTATTAAGCTATAAATGTAGGAAAAAATTCATCTAGGCTTCAAATACAGTAGGTGAGGAATGCATTTACAAAGTGGCCTTTGTTTTTGTAGTTAAATTTATAGCATCAATACAGGTTGTAATAGTTTGGGTTTTGTTTATTAATAATAAGAAATTATATTTTATACAGCGTCTTTAACGGTGGCTTCTCAAAGCGCTTTAAAGAATGACAACAATAAAAAAACACAAATATATGCACAATGAAAATGCACAGTTGAAGGGAATTCTGAATACAGTAGGAGGAGAGGGGTAAAGAACAGAACCAGTTAAGTAAAGGCTCTTGAGTCTAGAGGTTTTGAGTCTAGATTTTGAAGGAGTTTAGAGAATGAGAATCTCTGAGATCCTTGGGGATAGAGTTCCAGATCTTTCGGGAATAACAGGAGAAGGCCCTGTCACTCATAGAGTGTAGATAGGCTGGGAGACAGACAGGAGACCAGAATCAGAAGAGTGAAGGTCAGGAGTAGGACGATAGGAACTCAGACAGATACTGAGTTGCCAAGCCATGCAGAGCACTAAACCTGGTCAGGATTCTGGCTGCTGAATTTTGGACACACTGGAGTTTGTTCAATAGGGATTTAGAAAATCCAGTGAGTAGAGCTTTCGTTACATTAGTCAATTTGAGAGAAGACAAATGTTTATCAACTTTTCAGCCACAGTTAGTGACAACATTGGATGTAGTCTAGTGATATTTCTGAGGTGAAAGAAATATGTTGCAAATGTGGGTCAAATGTCAAGCCCGAATCAAATATCACCCCCAAGTTTTTAAATTTATATTGAAGTTCAAGTACAGTGCCATCCACAGAAAGGGTTACAGCATTGCCTTTACAAAATTGATGGGGGGTTCCAATAAGCATGACTTCAGTCTTGTCACAGTTTAGATAAAGGAAATTTTGAGTCATCCATGTTTTCATGTCAGAGATGCAATTAGAGACAGTAGAGACAGTCACATCAATGTCATATTTGGTATGGATGTAGATTTGAGTATCATCAGCAGAAATGTGATAGTTGAGGCCTTAAGATTTTTAAAGCTGACCATGTGTAAACATGTAAATGCTGAAAAGTATAGTAAAAGTTAAGTTTAGTGTTTATTCATTCTGGAAATGCTCCATACCCAATTGTGAAACTTACAGTATTCAGATTAGTTATTAGTTACATTTTTTATTTTGAATCGAAAAGCTTTGTTTTTTATGCTTTCAGTAATGTAATCTATACAGGCAGAATGATTTAAATTGCCTGCTGTCTACTGATCACAAAAATCAACACACATGGCACGAAGTCCTTGAACTGGAATTTTTAATGATTA